GGAAAAGGAAAAGGAAAGGGAGAGAAAAGGAAAAGGAAAAGGAAAGGGAGAGAAAAGGAAAAGGAAAAGGAAAGGGAGAGAAAAGGAAAAGGAAAGGGAGAGAAAAGGAGCAAAGAGAGGGGAAAAGGGAACAGAAAAGGGAGGAAAGAGAGGGGAAAAGGAAAGGGAAAAAGGTGAAAGGAAAGGGAAAAAGGAAAAGTGAAAGGGAAAATCCATTTACCTTTGGTTTTCATTGCATTTCACAGCTCTCAGGTACCGAACAACTTCCTTATACCTGGGGGAGAAAAATCAAGGTGAGAAGGGAAGGGAAGGAAATGCAAAACTGTGCACAGGGCAAATATTCCCTGCAATGAAAGGAGCAAACCAGGAGAAACTGCACAGCAGGACAGAAATACAGCTGGAAATCAACTCCTACAGGTTATTCCCAGATTATCTCAACTCTGGCAGGATAAAACCAGAGGTTGCCTTGCAGCTGAATTCTTGAAGTGGATTGGATTCTTTGGAATATTGGATTTTCTGGAGTACACCCTTCTGAAGAGCCAGAGCAGACTTTTCTGGCTGCCTTCCACTTGTCAGCCTTTGATGAAGAGGAATTGCTTGAAAAAATCAACATGAAAAACCTGGAGGGTTTATGGAGACAAAGGAATGAGCCAATCCAGAATTTTTTTTTTTTTTTTTTTAGTCCTGAGGCATTCAAAGGGTTCCAAAAAGCTCCTGGGATTGTTGAAAAAGGAAAAAAAAAATAGAAAAAGAATCTGTTTTGTGTTTCCCAATTCTACCTAAACACAGAGGTTTGGAGCACCCAAAATGTAAAAATTGAGTTCCTAAAATGAAAAAACCAAAGCAATCTCACTTCTTTTTCTCCAGCAGTTTCTGCACTCGAGCCTCCACAACAGGGAGGGCTTCCCACAGGAACATTTTCCTTCCTTTCTGTCTCCTCTGCCCAGTGATGTTCTGGCCTTTTAAAACTGTGGTCAGTAACATGTGGTCCCAGGGCAAAACATTCAAGCTGGAAGAAGAAAAAGAAAGTAATTTTTAAATTGTGTTTTGTTGTGTACATCACTAATTAGATCCTTTAAGGATCGTGAAGTTTGATTAAGAAAATATTTATTTCCTTTCTGGGGGAAAGGAAATCAGGTTTAGGGAGAAGAGCTCAGTCATGGCATCAAACAGCAAACAGGGAAAGCAGCAAATGCTGAAATATTCCTCTAAAATTCTCCCAATTTTATAATCAGGGAAATAAAGGATCCAAATCTACTCAGAACTCACCTGTTAGAGAAGGCATAGCAGTGACAGGGGAGGGAGATGGACTGAAAAAATTCAACAAACTTTTCATAGAGAATTTTTGGGAAGTCACACAACACCAACATCCTCTGAAGTCGAGTTGTGATCCTGTGATTTGAAAAAAAAAAATCAAAAGGGTATTTTAAAATGAGGAGATTTGGTTTTTTTAATCATATGGGAAACTACAAAAGCTTGTTTTGTTTTTTTTTTTTTTGTTTGAATCTGTACTTTAATTTCTGCTTGAAGTTTTGTAGTGAATAATGAAATTATTACTGTGCTGTTATTTTTAAAACCAAAGTTCTGTGGGGTTTAAGCTTTAAAACAAAGGAATGTGCACAGCAAACACTTCCAACTGTGCTGGACCTCAGCTCCTGCACATTCCCTGCTACTGGAATCATTTTTGTATTAATTGATAAGTGGAGATAAAAAAAGAAGAGTTCAACCTTTAAAATTTTGGCAGGGAGGTAAAGAGAAACTCTTCCTTTTTTTGTTCCATGTAAGAAATAAAAAAAAAAAAGAAAAAACCCACAAATAGCAATTTAAAATGCAAACTGCTGAAGGATTTAGGTTGTAGCTGTCATTAGTTCCAGAAAAGGTGAGAATATAGAACTGGGTTGGAAAGAATTGAATTCTTCACTCATCAACCTCGTGTGGCAGCTGAATTTGGGGGGAGAGGTGAAGGATGGAGCTAAAATGGGAAGAGAATTCAGCCAGGGGAGCTGGGTGTCCTCATTCTCCAGCCTCTGGGGGAGTTTTCCTGCTCCTCCCCAGTGGAATCTTGCTGTGACCTCTCTTCTCCCTCTTTACTCCTTGGTGTAACAACCACAACCTGCTCTGGTCACCCAAAACTCATCTCAGAGGCAGGCACAGAGTTGTGCAGGCAGCAAGGGAAACAATCTCACCTCTGGAACAGAAATGGGACAGCAATCCTGAGGGAAGCAGTGTGGCCAAGGTTCTGACAGCTCTTCAGCCTGGAAAAAAAAAAAAACAAATCCAGCACTAAATTCATGCCTGCCTCCCCTTCCTGCCTTTTCCCCTCTTTTCTGTTGAGGAAAACACTTTTTAAGGGAAAATTTTGGAAGCTGGCACGCTGTTAAAAATTCCTAAAAAGGCTGAAGTGCAAAACACAAAATTGACAGCTAAGAAATGCAGCCTTGCAAACCTGGCCCATTCCTCAGCAGGAACTGCTCTTTAAACCAATCCACACCTCAATTCCTTCTCTTTTACCAAAACCCCTGAATTTAAAGCCCAAAATGTTCAGGTTTCACCAAGCTCTGCAAAGTGTTTTGCTGAGTTGCTGAGTGTAACCTGGAAGTTCTAAGTTAGGTTAAATGCTGGTAAAGTGTTATTCCCCTGAAATTATTAAGGTTAAGTTTTAAGCTAAGCTTAAATTGGGTGTAAGTGCTGTTTCTTTGATGAATTGTTAAGCTTAATTTATAATTTAAAATATTGTTAAGTGGAAGTGCTGTTAAGCTTTTAAGGCTGAGTTCCTTTTTATTTTTGCTGTTCCTTTTGTCCCTCACTGGTTCTCAGTTAATTTCCTTTTTTGAATGCCTGGATTTGGGTTTTTTTGTTGCTTATTTTCCTTTTTTTGTGCCTAAGATCTCCTGTAAGCATCAGAATAAATCTTGCCAACCAACTTTGTTGTTTAATATTAAATCTGGCCTTCCCTTGGCAGGGATTTTTTTGAGTCATCTCAAACTCTCATTCCTGCTTAACTTTCCCCTCTCACATCTTATTTTCCCCCAAATCCCACTTTTCCCTCAGCGTGTTCACCTTGCTGTGCTGCAACCTGGGATTTTCACACTTTCCTCACCCCTAATTAATAAAACCCCAGGATTTTGTCACTAATTGCCCTCCCCTGGAGGAAAGGAAGAAGATTCTCAGTGTTGCAGGTACTCACAGAGCAGGATCTTTGTGCAGGGCAATCTGTCTAGCTGCTCCCAGCAGCATGACAGCAGCAGCTTTGGGGCTTTCTTGTTCTGCCTGATTTAAAAATCTTGTTACCAGCTCGAAAACATCAGAATACCTGAGAAAGTCAAGTGGGCTGTAAGATCAAAGGTCAGCAAGAACAGATTTCCTAAACAAGTGGTACCTGTGGTCATCCCACAGCTTGAGAGCAAATCCAGAGCCTTTAAAGCATTTCCAACACACTGAGAAGGTGCTGGCACAACTTTGAGTATTTTGAAGGTTTTGTTTTATCAGTGAAAAGGTGAAACTCATTCTGAGGAAGGAATCAGTAAAAAAAAAAAAAAAATCTCAGAATGGTTTGGGTTGGAAAGAACCTTAAATTCCAACCCAAACATCTTCCACCATCCCAGGCTGCTCCAAGCCCCAATGTCCAGCCTGGCCTTGGGCACTGCCAGGGATCCAGGGGCAGCCACAGCTGCTCTGGGAATCTGTGCCAGATTTGTCCCAAATTCCCACCTAAAGCCACCCCAAAACCCAAGCCTTAGGTTCCCACTTGTTACAATAACCAGAGATCACCACGTGTCCTGCACAGCACAGGAGATTTAAAACCACATTTCAGACAGATTTTCCACCCCAGCCAAGTGCAATCTACCTCACTGACCACCCTCAGCTCTATTTTCTGCTGTCTCAGGTGCCACAATTCTCATTACATCCAATTAAATAAATCAAAAGTTGTCCTGACAAACCCCAAACCTGCTGGAATCTCACTTACTTGTACACCACCTCGGTGTTCTGTGAGCTGCACACACTGCACTGCCCCGGGGGCAGTTTTGGCTGGCAGCAGCATTCATGCTCTGGGGGACACAACCTTTCACCTGCCAGGTATTTGTTATAGGCTACAGAAAGATCCTTGATGAATTTTTCTAGGAGATCTCCTAAGAGTGAAGACAGAAAAAAAAAAAAAAATGCACAAAGAGTTTTGAATGTTTGTTTTTTTTTTTTTTTTTTCAAAATAGAAAGTTGCCCATGTGAAATTATTTAGGGAATTGTTTGCATCCAGTTTTATTGGTCAGGAAAGCTTTGTTGCTGAAAGAGGGGGAATTTAGGTGGGATATTGGGAAGGAATATCCCTGGGAGGATGAGGAGGGCCTGGAACAGCGTGCCCAGAGAAGCTGTGGCTGCCCTGGAAGTGTCCAAGGCCAGGCTTGGATGGGGCTTGGAGCACCCTGGGAGATTGGGAATTGTCCCTGAATGAAATGAATGGAATGAGATTAACAGAATGAGATGATTCCACCCCAAACCATTTTATGATTCTCCCAGATGGAGAAAAGCAGGAATCTGCACCTGCAAACCCTTCCCTGATAAGCATGGAAAAAGAATTTGCTCCTTAAAAATTCTACAAAGATTGGTGTGGAGCAGCCAGGCTGCTCTCCAGGCCAGGACAGGCCTGAGCAGCAGCCCCAGGATTTTTGGGAATAGAGCACCTGAACAGCCCCAGGATTTTTGGGAATAGAGCACC